GTGACCCTGCCAGGGAGGCCACCCCTGACAAAGGCCATGCTCTGATGGCCTGCAGACTCAGGCTGAGAACAGCTCGTCTTCAAGACATCTGCTGTTGATTTGTGCGGACTGGCAGTCAGCATCCAGGAAGTTTGTGCTGTCAGATCCCTCCTAAGGTGAGGTTAAAGGAGAAACCCACAGGACGGAAACTGTGGCGTGCCTCATGCACTGTGCTCAACTGTTGCTGGCCATGGTTCTCCCATGGGTGCACAGGATAAATAACTGGGTTTTCATGAGTCAGCATTCCTGACCTGGTTATCACATGCTAGACAGCTGTGTGGGGCTGGGCTGGCTGAGCCGGGCCACAGGATGGCCCCATGCCACTTGGCATTACCTAAGAAATAGATGGCCCGATTTGACTGTGGCAGGACAGGGTTCCCGGTGCTAAATAGAGGCTTGCTGGTTGGATCAGAAAGCACCCATGCTGGTCCCTACTGCCAGATGTAATGCTGTTTTTTGAGAAAGACTGTGTGGCCCCCTAGTGTCGAATGTAGAAATAGCCCATTCTTTGATTTTGGTTTTAAGATTTTACATGAAGATGTTTTTGCCTGCATGTATGTGTGCCGCATGCATGCAGTCCTGTGGAAGCCGAAACGGCATCATTCCCCTACAACTGGAGTTGCAGTTGAGCTCTGTCCTGTAGGTGCTGGGAACCGAACCACAGTGCTCTGGAAGAGCCGCCAGTGTTAAGCATGTCTCTGAAGCCCCCTGGAGAACATAGTGCTCCCTTCCTGTATCGCTAAAGGACCGTGACAAACATTCCAGGGCCCTCCCCTCCCTAGCAGCCAAAGAACACCTGCAATTTCAGCTCCTCCAGCTTCACCTACTCATGCTTGCAAAAATCAAAACAAGGCCCTTGAACATTTTCACCTTGAAATGATAAGCACATGGGAACAAGGTTCTCAAGTGACCACTGGGGGGAAGTGGCATATGGCCAAATTTACTCTTGAAAATGTGGTGCCTACCACTTAGTCAAAGGCAGCTATTACCAGTACATAGCATGTCATGTCAGCCAGGTAAGGCTAGCTGATGTGGCTGTGCTGAGCAGTATGCAGACACAGGACTCGGGAAGAGGCAAACAGCACGGGTGTTCAATCGGCTGTGCCTTTCAGTGACCTCCCTCCCTCCCTCTTCTGCACACACTGAACCACAAAATCAAAGCACCAAGTCTAAGACCTGATAATGGGCTCCATTGTGGAGTATGTTCATGGTTTGGTTTTGTTTTTTTAATCAGTGGCCAGATACAATCAGAAAAGTGGAAAGTTGCATTTAATCCAATTTGTCCCTGCTACATTGTGGTATCACATGACCCGTCTGCATAGCTGTGTTTGGTAGGAGTCAAGCCAAGCTTGGCTTGCCCAACCTTTCTTATCCTGGGACCAAGCTGCTGGTCTTCGCTGTCCTTCATCTCCAGTCCTTCATCTCCAGTGGCTGCAAGGAGTATAGTCGCTGGCTCACTTTGCCTTATTTTCCCTCCCAGACAGGAGGCTGGCTGTCCCGGGGTTCACACTGGGACCTGTGGCATGACTTTTTCCATGGCCAGCAGTCTTGGCCCTGGCCTTCTTGAACCTGCTAAGCGGACTCTGAAGAACAAATGACTACAGAGAAAATGAGCAAGTTCATGTACTTATAAGGGTGTGATTATAGGAGTGTGCCATCCCCAATATTTGCCAAGCCCAGGGCAAAGACAGAAAACCCACCTTCATCCCATCCTCCACTTTCCCACCTCTGCCCCCTTGCTGTCCCCTGCACAGACGCACACCTTCACACAGCAGGGCTTGTTGAGACTCACTAGGAGCCCTGGCTATCCTGGGAGCTTACTATGTAGACCTGGTGTCTTAGGGTTTCTATTGTGGTGAAGAGACACCATGACCACAGGAACTCTTAAAGGAAAAACATCTAATTAGGGTGGCTGACATTTTCAGAGGTTCAGTCCAGTACCACCATGGTGACAGTGACATGCAGAAAGATGGCGCTGGAGAAGTAGCTGCATGTCCTACACCATGTTTGTAGGCAACAGGAATCGGTCTGTCCCAATGGGAGTAGCTTGAGCATGTGAGATCTCAAAGCCAACCTCCATAGTAACACACTTCCTCTAGCATGGCCACACCTAATTGTGGCACTCCCTTTGGGGATCATTTTCTTCAAGCCATCACACCAGACTAACTTCCAACTCAAGAAACACCTACCTCTGCCTCCCACCTAACCAAACACTTAAAGGCTCTTCTCTCTGTGGAGGACAAAGCTCAAGGTTCACCCTTAAACTATAGAATCAACTTCTGGAAGTGGGAGTCCAAGGTGGCGGCTTCGCCTATAGTGAGGTCTGAGCGCTCATTGGGCCTGGGAAGGACGGGATGAAACAGGAAGGCATCAAAAGTTGATGCAGCCCACTGAGCAGGAAGTAGTGAATCTGGAGGGGCAATGGGAGATAACCCAAGAAAGCCCTGTGTAGAATACATGAAGCAAGAATGCAGTCACTGTGTCAGACTTTCCCCATGTACAGCCCCCAAAGGCTGCTTCAGAATATCCCCCCTCTGTGCTTGGAAACCTATTGCCTAAGTCTTCAGGCTCTTCCAGAGGCCCTTAGTACTCAGATATTCCAATTTCAGATTGATTAATTAATTAGTGAGACCATGAGCAAATCTCTACATAAGTTCTATTATTGCTGGTGGCACTTGGGAGGCAGAGGCAGGCGGATCTCTGAGTTCAAGGCCAGCCTGGTCTACAGAGTGAGTTCTATCACAGCCAGGGCTGCTATATAGAGAACCCTGCTATATAGAAAAAAAAAATTCTATTATTTCCCCTTGACTGTGTAGCTCTACTCCAATGATCTTAGTACTAAGAGGTGTAGAAAGGTTGTGATTTAACAGGAACGAGTGCCCAGATGCAGAATTTCTAGCAAGTTCCCAAGCTGATACTGATTTTGCAGTTATAGGCTCACACCAGTAGAAAGCGAGCAATGTTGGAGCAAGCCTCTTGGGCATGCCCAGTGCAGCGGAAGCTTGCAGCTCTTGGGGTCAGCGGGGGCACCCACAGACAGCCTACTTCCCTGTCAATGCTAGACCTCCTCCTGCTCGGCTGCTGCTCAGATCGTCTGCCTGTCACTGCTGCGGCCTTCTGGCTACTGCTGCCAAACCATCTAGCAACTATCCAAACTGAGAGCTATGCATGTATTTGTTTATACCCTCAGAAATGTCTTCAGAATTTTTAAAGTTAGGAAAATGCACTAGTAAACAAGTGTAGGAAAGTATTTCCCTCAACATCTGGGTGGCCTTGGAAGTCAGTAAATGCTAAAACACATACTCAAAGGTGAGGGTACAGGGTAATGGTGTGGGTTCTGGGGTATCCAGAGTCTTCACCCAGGAGCTCTCTCTCAAGTGGCCCACCCATTCTCACCACTGACCTTGATCCCCCAATCAATTTCTTGGCTTTTGAAAAAAGATTTCTAGCTTGGGAACAGATACCTTTAGTCCCAGCACTCACGAGGCAGGGGCAAGTAGATCTCTGTGAGTCTAACATTAGCCTGGACAACAGAGCAAGTTTCAGGCCAGACAGAGCTTCATAGAAAAAAAAAATCTGTTAAGACTTCTTTGTCTCAAGAAAAAAAAAATCTGTTAAGACTTCTTTGTGTGAATGAATGCTTTGCCTGCATATAAGTATTTACAGCACATGCAGCCCATGAAACCCAGAGGCGTTGGGTGCCCTGGAATAACCGTGTGGGTGCTGGGAATTGAATCAAGGTCCTCTGCAAGAGCAGCCAGCACTCTTAACCTCTAAGGCATCTCTCCAGCCTCAATCTCTTACATTTTAAGTACATTACTTTCCATCAGACCCCTCTCACATCCCAGTCCCTTGTACTCGCAGCCAAGTCTGCAGCCCTGAGTCTAACCCCTGGACACGGAGAATGAGAACTCACACTAGTTCTAACCCCTGGACACGGGGAATGAGAACTCACACGAGTTCTAACCCCTGGACAGGGAAATGAGAACTCACACGAGTTCTAACCCCTGGACACGGAGAATGAGAAGACAAGTTCTCATTTGGCATCCACGTGTATGTGCACAAAATAATTTTTAAAATTGAGTTTTCCACCCTGGTGGTTTGGGGTGTTTACAGAGACTTCATCTATTTAACTCTGAGTAAGACCCCCCCCTTTTCAGGCTATTTTCTCACCAGATGTTTGAATGGGGGTGATGGCTTCATAGCTGAGGTGCTTAGATGTCTCACCCAAGCCTAGGCTCAAGCATCCTGTAACACTTTACAGAAGCGCTTCCACCTACTAGAAGTTCCCTTTCCTGCCCACCTGCCTCACTTCCTGCATCAAAGGTAACTGTGGATGAGAAACCTCCCCTTTCCTTTGTACACTATGCGGAAACTTGCTGACTGCTACCTACGAAAATGGAAGGGCAGGAACTGTGAAGCCCAAACTCTCTTAAGAACCTCCTGTCCGAAGCAAACATGAACGGGCATGAGAAAGCCTTCAGTGTCCTTCCTGGGGGCCCAAACAGTTCAGTCGTCACTCATACCCTCCACTCATTCACACTACCCGGAAGCTGAAGTGCCTGTCTGAGATTAATTACAGAAAGGATTTCCCAATGCTAGCAGACTCCACTCGGCTTGAGAAGGCCCTCTGACATTTTCTGTTGACCCCAAGAGTGAGCAGGTTCCATGTGGGCATCTCAGAGGCCCACTCCTTTCCCAGGTCAAGCCTCAAGGTTATGGCTATCAAAGAAAAACACTGAAATGTAACTGATAAACATATTTTGTTTGCCAAAGACAGGCCATCATTATTAAAGACACCATAACCGGTGACTTTAAAAACAAACTTCTTACCTAGCAGAATAATCTTTCACGGCTACTCTTTTAATCTCTCTGAAGCACTCAGGTTAGCTTGCACTCTCATTAACCTGAGTGGAGTGGCAGAAATGAACGGTAACCAGGAAAAGGCACACACAGAAAAGTAATGTTAAAGGATTTATTGCAGGAATACAATAAAAGCTTAGAAAACGTCTGTGTGGCTCACCCTGACGCGGAAGTCTCAGGTGCAGAGAGGGGGCTCCAACACTGCAACCCTTCCCCAAAGCACGCCCGACTCCTCACCACGGCGTCCACCATACCGCGGGGACTGCCTGTCTCTCCATTAAGTTACACTCTTGGTTCTTTTCTTACATCAAATGCCTTTTATAAGACCATTAAAGCAGCCTATGCGGTGCCTCTGAGTTTCTAGCAGTTTACCTTGTTTCACTAAATCATTTTAAAATGGAAAACACGGCCAACTTCTATGGCTTTTGGTTTACAAAAATACCAGCTCCATTGTTTCTGAAAGCTGTTACATACAGATGGTCCTGGCACCTGCATCAAAGGTTTCAATGAGCAGCAAAGAGTACGGGGCGGGGGGGGGGGGGGGGGAGGGGGGACAACAGTGGTTGAAATGTGTATTTAATATTTACAACAGGTGGATCCAGTGCAAAATCATGAGCCTCGAGTATTTCAGCAGCCTAGGCGGTCATCGACGGTGACATAAAGTGACAGAAGTGCCTCTACTTTACACTAAGACCAAATACCCATCAGGCCTCACTCCCGCATCTGTTCTAGCTGCTGTGGGCACGAGTCTGTGACGTCTGTACTCTGTGCGGCTCAAGCTCACGGGTCCTTTCCCAGTTGGTATCTGCTCATTCCAGACTCAGCCTACAGATTCCAACAGTGATGGAGCCAAGCATGGAACAGACGTCAGTCAGTGACGCCTGCAGGAGGGAAGCGGTCTCCTCGCCAGGGAGTATCTAGAGCGGGACCATGGGGCTCCTTGCTTCCTACAGGTCTACAACAGCAAATGCTCACTAGCACCTCAGTCTGCAGAGTAACAACCATAAGGACGACATGAACAGAAGCCAGGGCGCGGCAAACTGCTGAAGGACTTGCCTGAGGTGTCACCACACCAGTTCAGTTGGGAAGGTATGGCACTGCCGCAGGGGAGGGGCGGTTTCCAAAAGGTTTCTGTGGTCTGTTACATAGAACTTCTTTTTTGAAGTTATTAAAAATAAAAAAGGGCTATTCCCAAGTTTTACTATAATGCCTCTCGTTATAACTTTCTGTAAGATTGTCATTAAAATGGTCTCTTGGAGGAAATTCCTCTAGCACTTCCTGGGACAGCTGCACGTGCTCTGCCAAGTGCAGCCTCTGGAGCCACGGAGACCCCAACGACAAGCAGGGGGTTCCCCAGAACACCTGCTACTGGCTAGCCCCCCCCTCCAAGAAATTGCAGCAAGAAAACGAACACTTAATCAGTGTTCAAGCTGCCCGGGCAGCATTTAGCTCATACGGGGATAGTTCTGAAAAGTCCACTTTAAATGCGTGTAGCACAGACATCGTCAATGACTTAAACAAGAGCACAAGAAAACTGTCCCGACATCTCTAAATGTGGCAGCTATGACTCCCCACTCGTGGAAGAAAGGCTGTGGTTTCTTTGGTGTGGCAGAGAATCAGGAATGTGATACATGACGACAGCGAGAGCAGAGTCCCCACCTGCCCTCCAGGTGCCACCACCACCTGATTCCAGCCTCCCCCGGAAGACCAAAGCTGCGGCAGATGACAGAAAAACAAACTCGGCTTTTGTCTTTCATCCCTCACTACCAAGAAACACTTCCTTGTGACCTGACAGAGTCTAGAACTTACATCAGGAAGAGTCTAGGCATCCCAGCAGCATGCTGTGGGGTCTAAGGTCTAGGACCGGGGCCGAGGAGGCCCTGAGCATGGTCCCCATCACAGGCCACCTGAGAGGCACAAGTGCTTGTCCTCACACTAGTTAGCCCTCTGGTGACTACACACACAAGGTTATTAGAGTGCAGTGGAAAAGATCTTGCGTGTTCTGGTGGACGCTCATTAGCGGTGTCCAGTATAAGCTTTAAACCAGGAGGTCACCGAGGCTGCAGCCGAGGAGATCATCCCACCCGCACTGCTGCTGGCAATGGGTGGGGAGGCCTGGGTACTCTGGCTCTGGGAAACTTCCACTGGCTGGGAAGGGATGTCACAGAATCGGGGGCTCGGCAGGTTCTCCCAGTCTGTGCCCAGGTCAGTCTCCTCATCGCTTACATGCTCGTCTCCACTCACGTCTGATTCTCCGGCAACTCCAGGGTCCACAAATTCCATGGATTCCTCAAGGTCTGCCCGCACTTCAAAGGGTCCTGACCTGTGTGCACACAGAGGGGCTGCATAAGCACCATTCTCCCACCCCAAGATCATGTGAGCTGGGTAAGAGAGGAGAGAGCCCCGCCCCGCTGCACTCCTTTGTTCCCTGTGAGACAGACAGGAGCACAGGGAGCAGGCACAGTACAACGTGTGCACAGGGAGCAGGCACAGTACAATGTGTGCACAGGGAGCAGGCACAGTACAACGTGTGCACAGGGAGCAGGCACAGTACAAAGTGTGCACAGGGAGCAGGCACAGTACAAAGTGTGCACAGGGAGCAGGCACAGTACAAAGTGTGCACAGGGAGCAGGCACAGTACAAAGTGTGCACAGGGAGCAGGCACAGTACAAAGTGTGCACAGGGAGCAGGCACAGTACAAAGTGTGCACAGGGAGCAGGCACAGTACAACGTGTGCACAGGGAGCAGGCACAGTACAACGTGTGCACAGGGAGCAGGCACAGTAGTACAATGTGTGCACAGGGGAGCAGGCACAGTACAATGCCCAGGAATGACTCCGCTCCTGCTTTTCTTTTAGAACGTGGACACACCAGGCAAGGTGGTTCTCCTGTCTGGGCCTCCCGTCACAGAGTACAGATGTGTGCTACCTCATCCAGCTGACTTTCTTCATGGGCTCACTGCTTGTACAGCAAGCACTTTAACTACGAGTGAACCATCCCCCCTAGCCCATATCTTTACTCTTCATTGAGGATGAGTTTTTTAATTGAATTCCAGGCAAGCAATTTGCATCCTCTGTCTACCTTCCTACTAGGTTACTTTCCCTTGCCAATTGAAAGACTGACCTCCTCTAGATTTTGATTTGTGCTCTAGTATAGACGTTACAAACCTCTGGGCCAGTTCCTACATAGCAATGTGTGTGGCGCCTTTCATTTAATGGGTTTTGAGGTGTTGGCTTGGTTAAAGTTTCTCTCATTACTCATGAGTATAGACCAATCTTTTCTCTTAGGTCTTTTATATATCACTTAAAAACAGGATCTTTTATTTCTGAAACTTGTCTTTATATATAAAATATGATAAAAAAATAAACCCTACCCATCCCTCACTTAATGCCAACTAGCCCAACTGTATTGACTGTGATCATCTAATTCAGCAGGCAGCCAAAACAGTCCTGTAGGTGCACGATCTGTTTCAAGATGGAGTTCTCTTTTCTAACTACTAGACATACTATTAGATGCTTATAGCTTCTTTCTTAATGGGCGGGGAGGAGTATTTAAGATAAGAGTATTTAAGATAAGATCTCACTATGTAGCCAGGCTAGCCTCAAAGTCACAGTCATTCTCCCTCAGTTTCACAGAAACTGAGATTAAGCAAACTTCTTTATTTTGTTTGTTTGTATTGCTGGGGGTGGGGGGTTGCCATAGCAAGCATGTGGACACCATCTCTCTCCTTCCACCATGTGGGGCGTGGAAATTAAGTTAGCTGAAGGACCTTTACCCCTTTATCCACTGAGCTGTCTCCCTGGCCCCACCCCCCCGAACACCTTTTTAAAAATTAACTTTATATACCCTGTTTGGAAAGGGGCCAGACCATATTATTCTCACTCTGCCCTTACTGCCAATGGTTTGGGGTGAAGTCAGTCTGTCCACTCTGAAATACCTGCTGTACTTTTCACCAGTCTCCCTTATGGGAAGAAGGGGCACATCTTTAGCTGAGAAAATGGAGGATTTCACTACCTCAGACTTGCTTCATCCAGACAACTCCTTATCCAGTTCCAAAAGCCATTCAAGAAGTTGTACCAAATAAAACCTCACTGTTTTCTTTCCACAGATGCTCCCCAACTGGAGAGCTGAAAATATAATGAGTCGCCTTCACCACTTAGCACGCCCCCGCCCGCTCCTTTAGCCAAGACCTTAACTAAGTTGCTTAGGCTGGCCTTAATTTTGTGGTCCTCTTACCTCAGCTCCTGAGTGGCTAGATTATAGGCATTTGCCAATTTAGCCAGCTCAAAAACTCTAATATACCATAGTGAGAAACAGCAACATTTAGTATAGTCTAACTTAAACAGAGTGTTCACATTAGCCTACAGTTTGAGCAGAATCACCAAATAAAACCCCATTTTCCATAGTGTAGACACATCTGCTGCCTCCCATCTACCAAAATGATGTGCATACTGATGAGAGCAAGAACGATGGGAAGAGCCTAGACCAGGGTACAAAAGATGAGCCGCTCTTTGGGGCTGAGTGACTGACAAGTTATCTAGAGCAAACCATGGACCAGCGTGGTGTTCATTGTTACTGATTTCTTTTCTTTTCTTTCTTTCTTCTTTTTTTTTTTTTCCCTTGTGATAGGGCTTCTCTGTGTAACAGTCCTGCCTGTCCTGGAACTCGCTTTGTAGACCAGGCTGGCCTCGAACTCACAAAGGTCCACCTGTCTCTGCCTCTCAAGTGCTGGGATTAAAGATGTGCACCACTACATCTGGCTGATTTCTGTTTTAAGCAGATGAATTTCAAGTGAGCTCAGTCTATAAACTTCCAATAGTTCTAAGAAATGGTGAGCAGACAGAGGATATGCAAGCACAAAGGAAAGCGGACAAAGACAGCACAGCTGCAGGGGCCAGTTAGAAAAGAAATGAGCAGGGTCAAGAGAAGCACAAGGTGGTGGGCAGGGCATCGGGACTCCTCTACTTCATGTCACATGCTAAACGTACTGTATTGCAACTTTCTCTCAAGTGACTGCAACACGCTCGTAGAAGACCACGCGATCAACTGCTTCCTTCTGCAGAGTATGTACAACTTTTGTCCTTGCCAGAGAATCGGGGACTTGGGAACACTAGATACTACACCAGCGTGCATCCTGGTTCTACTTTAAACCAGCCACAGAGAAACAGTGCTTAGAGAAAAGCTACACACACAACTTACCTGCCTAGGTGCTCCGAGTGTGGGCTGACCAGGTGCATTAGGTTTCTGAGTGTATGCAGTGGTTGTAGCTGATCTAAATTCACATGCTAGAAGAAGCAAAGGCTTGGTTACTACTTTCAAACACACAGCAAATTAATAAAGAGTGCAAAGCCCAGGCTCGTACCTGCGAGGAACAAAGGTAAAGGATGTTTGTGTTCAGTTTCCTCACCGCCCGCGTCAGTTTCTGCTTGCTGAGGTTTTCTCCACAGAACTCACTGTAAGACAAGGGTAGGACTTCTAAGTCTGTTACAATGTTCCTTTTGAAGGCTATGTCTTAACTGCAGTTCCGCCAGCACAGCACACCCTCTTCCCCCATAGTAAACGGCTGGGAACAGACACTTCCTAAGTACTGAACTATGCCCTTATGGGGAGCAGTTCCCGTCATCGACAGAAACTACAAATGCATGTCCCTGGGTGTGAGCAACTCTGCCAGAGGAGCTCGTGTCACACAAACAGGGATGCTATGAACTGATACACAGGGTAGCACATTCTATGAAGGATCAACAGGGGACTGTGGGTAAGAAAAATTCAACCACCAGCCGCTCTGTGGAGAATGACAGCTGCAAACTTTTTACTAGGGTCCAATGGGACAAATCTCTGCTGACTCCCATCTCCCAGAACTTTGCGCCTTCTCTGCCTGCAGCTTTCTTCCTTAGCATCCCCATCCATGGCTTGTTCTCTTTGTGCCTTGAGCTAAGGAAGAGCATTTGCTCATCTGGGTTCAATTCCCTAATACATGAAAAAACAAAAACAGGAGAAAAAAACCACCCACGCCTCCTGCTTTCAATGCACGGATCACCCTTGGAGGGGATCACCCTCGGAGAGGCTACGCTTAGTTTACTTGAGCACATGCCTAAAAGCCCAGCAATCAGAATACTGAGGCAGGAGGAGCCTTCAGGCCATACCAGAATTGAATTCCATAATTCCATGACACCCAGAGCTGTTACATACAGAAACAAAGTCTCAAAAAAAAAAAAAAAAAAAAAGCTGGGCAATGGTGGCACACTCCTTTGACCCCAGAACTTGGGAGGCAGAGCAGGTGGATCTCTGTGAATTGAGGCCAGCCTGCTCTACAGAGAATTCCAGGACAGCCAGGGCTACAGAGAAAATCGGTCTGGAAAAAAAAATAATAATGCAAACATGCAAGCTTCATAAGAACGAAAGAGCCCTCCCCACCCCTGTCCTCTCTCGTTCCCTTGGCTCCAGTGCACGGGTCTGCAGCATCCTCCTGCATACCCTGGTCCTTCCTTTGGTTATTTCCAAGAACCAGATGGATTCTCTGTGGACTCCTCAGATTTCACGCACAACTGTAACACAATCAAACTGTCGACATCTTCTGAAACAATCTTAATATTTCTATTTGTCAAGCCTTCTCTTAGCTAGTGTAAGGGCACACCAGGAACACGAGAAATCAATGAAGACGGGATTGTCACTTGAGTTACTTGCCTGTTGCACAGCTTTTTGGGAAGATTGATATCAAGTATGTGAGACACAATGTTGACGAGCTGAGTTGCGTAGCACAGCGCGGCACTGATAGTGTAGGCAGGGTTGTTGTGCTCCATGTCTGAGAACGGACACAAAAGGCACAAAGGACCTCCACGTCAGTACACATACCAAGATTTTCACTTGTAGTTTTATAGTTTCACTCTTCCTGCGTGGTCAGACGCAAACAGTCCTTGATTGAGCCTGGCAATGTATTTCCTAACAGTGACCAGATTAGCCCACTGTGGTGACTCCTATTAATGTCAACATTGGGAGGCTGAGGCAGGAAAATCAGAAGTCTGAGGCCATCTTGAGCTACATGAGACCCTTCCTCAAAACCAGGGCCTAGGGAGGGATAATGGGGCTGGAGAGGTGGCTCAGCAGTTCAGTGCTTGATGCTCTTCCAGAGGCCCAGAGTCCAGTTCCCCACACCAGTGCTGAGTGGCTGACAAGTGTATGGAACTCCAGCTCCAAGGTGATCCGAAACCCTCTACCGACTTCCACACTTGTGTACACTCACACAGACACACAGGTACACATAGTTAACATCTGGACTCAGCCTTCCAAATGTTAGGGTAAACAGGCATGAATCGTCTAAGGATGTCTTTTTCATGAATTAAGTCATATTAACCACAAAGGTGAAACATCGTCGGGCTAGCAAGTGTTGAAAATATAAAATGTGGTATATGCAAACAATGGAACACTAGTCAGCCACTTAACGCAATGGAATTCTAACATATGCCATGGTATGAACTTTGTAAAAGAAGGCTAAATCAAGAAAGCAGACCAAAAAAATGCACACACTGCATGCTTTCACTCCCGAGTTGTCTAGGATAGACTGCCTTTTGCTAGAAGAGCTGAAGAGGGGAAGAGAACACTCTCACAGCATGCGGCCTGAGATGAGGAAATGGTTTTCAGAACTAGGAAGAATTCAGGCTCTCAGACTGCTGTGCTGCGGGCAACCCAGCTGTCACCCCTGCCCTGTTCACTCTGGCATGAAGATTTTACCTCACAAAATACAATACATTTTCAGAGAATGTTTTGCTGCTCACCAGGCCCTTGGGTTGTTTTCTTCTCTTCTACCCAATTGTAGTAGGCAGAGTAGTCCCCGTTGTTTGGGAGGCTAATCCAAGGGCCTGTAATGCTAATGCTGGTGTCACCGTTGTGGTCATCACAGACCCATCTTCCAGAGAGGTAGGTTGTCCTCCGGGCCTCAGCAAGTTTGCTCACCATGCTAGATGTCATGGCGCTGTCACTCTCTGAAGACACGTCTGCAGGATCTCTGCAAACAGGCAAGATTACAAAGGAACTCCAAAGCCTCCTGAGCTTTTAAAAAAGCAACAGTGTATCTACTATAGGCTAAGAAAAGGTTACTGACTGGCAACAACAAAGAAGGCAAGCTGTTCCTCATGTCTTGTGCAGCCTACAAATGTGTCCACAGTCAAGAGAAACACTCAAGTGTGGCACTGGGAAGAGCAGAGGACCTCGTGCAAATGAAGACCACATCACTAAGTGGTCTTGTTAACCCAAAGTCATTATGAGCCACATAACTCCATGTGTACATGTTTTCTTTGTTAAAAAAAAAAAAAGTTCAACCTTATTGAAAATTGCAAAAGTTTTAAAGTTTTACCCAAGTTACCAATTATGGAAAATGTAACAATCAAAATTAGGAAGCCTAAATTCAATTCCCATACTGAAAAACAAGCAAAATACAGTAAGGAAGGAATTAGTTTGGTATCTTTTTGTTTGTTTGTTTGTTTTTTAAGACAGAGTCTCATGGGTCCTAGACCGGTCTTGAACTCCTAAAGTGTGTGACTAGCTACTGTGGTATAGAAATTGAGTCATTTACACCACAGTGCTATCAACTCTTCTACAGACCTGATCCAACTCTGGAGTTGTTAAGATCCTCATTTGCAGTCCAGAAGGGAAACCCAGAATCATGCCTGGTGATGGGTTCCTGCTGATCCACCAGGATGGAATGCTGGCACAGGCTTCTGTTCCACCAGCACCCTCTAAGGCCTGACCAGTGGTGTTTATGCAAACTTTAGTAATTTAACTTTTCTTCACTGCTCCGAAACACTTAGCAACTTTGTATCTCAATTTTGTATAAGGCCTTTCTAACAGCGCTCAGAGATTGAACCTAGGACTTCTTGCTAGCTGCCTAAGGGCTCTACCTTTCAGCTATATCCCTGAAAAAGGGTCTCCTTAAGTTGCTCAGGTTAGCCTTAATGTACAGTCTACCTAATAAAACTCTCAAGTATCTGGTATCACACGGGTCTCTGGCACTGAGAAATGGAGGAGGAGGCTGGAGTGTGCACGCTCATCTACACAATTCTGAGACAGAGGGGAGGGAGGAGTGTGCACACTCATCTACACAATTCTGGGACATGGAGGGGAGGGAGGAGTGTGCACTCCAAGAGCTGAGTCACAGCCCAGCCTTCTCTTTAAGCTGAGACAGGATCTCAGTTAAATTCCCCAGCTTGCAGTCCTCCTGGCTTACCACCCAAGTCCCTAGGATTACGGGTGTCAGGCACTAGGCCCTGGTGAGCTTTGTCAAAAGCACCAGGCATGCCTGTGATGAACGGCAAGGCGAGGAGTCCCTCTGCACTAAAATCACCGTGCTGTCTCAGCCGTGCAGAATGAACTACCAGGAAAGGCTAAGTCAGCACAAGGAAAGGCTGAGTCTAGGCACAAGGTATGTTCTTCCTTTCCATACAAGGTCATTTAACAGAGATCAGGTTCGTGGGTTCAAGGCTGTGTCTCCTCCTGGCTAGCACTGGGTTGGCATGCCAGGGTGAGTCAGCATGTAACCTGGGCGCTTTGTGACGTCACGGCTGCCCCACCCCCTGCCCTGGCAGCCTCCCTGGCTTACTGTTTGCTGAGGACGATAAGAATCAAATTTCATACCAGGAAAACAAGGATCCTAGAACAAGGCCCAGTAAGTGCTGAAATACGGAAAACAGCCCCCAGTATCTGGTCCCCCACACCAAAGCCTTCTCACTTCATGTACCTCACAGAAGTCTTCACTTCGTCCATTGGGAAGATGACGGAGGTGAGCTCTAGGATGCGGGACCTTCGCAAACACGCCAGCCGCTCGTAGTGACTCTTCAAGTCAATGGTTTTCTTCTCCACCAGGTCCCCAAGCTTGCGGTTGTGCCGCTGAATCTTCTCCTTTTTCTCTTGGTGCCGCTGGGCTCGGCTGTAAAGCTTCTGGTTCTTCTCCTTGTTTTTGAGAAGGCCTTCAGACTCTAACAACACATCACATGCCTCATGAGCCCTGCAGGCCACTGTACAGCACTGCTTCTCTTCCCACTGTACACTCAGTGGTAAAGCCCAAGAATACTTTTCACTAAGGGTTTCCTGGAGAGAGCCTGTGGGCTATGAAGTCTGGGGCTTGCTAGGATCATTATACTCAAGTTAAGCTTCAACTGAGTCACAAAACCAAACTGCACTCTAAGACAGACATCTAGGAACCACAATCTCAAGTTCAAAACCAAGCTCAGAGCCTTCCAGGAGCACCAGCTCTGAACACGTGTGAAGCCCTTCCGTCTCCCCTGCTGTGGTTCTATTAGCTAGTCTACAACCTATCAATGCCTTTCTTTCCACTCTCACTGCGGTTGCTAATTAACCCGCACTTAAATGCTGCCCATCTCCAGGGTGGCTCAACTCCAACCTATCTGCCCCATCCCTCTCCCTGGGCGCGTGCATGCGTGCGTGCATGTGCTCCTCTTGCCTTGGCCTGCTGAGATTACAGGAAGTGTCACCATGCATGGCCTTGCACAATCTTTATAAACTACAGCCAATGACTGACAGTTCTCGAACACAAACCAAACTTTTAACTTCCAAACTGGCATAGCCACGGTTCCCTTTTGCCCCGCGTTCAGTGCTTCCATCCGGCAGGTCCTCTTCTCAGGAGCCCTAATGGCAGTGAGTGGACGAATGAACACGAGGAATTTCCGTCCTGCGAGGCTCACCCCGCACTGCCATTCAAATCCTACCTGTGGGGACTCCTACTTTCCCCCTTTCCGTTGTTCGTGTTGTTATTTACTACGTTCCCACTGTTCCCCTCCTTGGCAAGGTTCTGCCCATTATTGGTGCCCCCAGACCTGTTCCTCACAATCTGGACCCCGTGTTAGCCTTCTAAAGCATACAGCTCTCAGTTCTTCACACCAGGGCCCACTGAAGCCTTGCTGCCTCCTACCAGGCTGTAACAGGCACCTGTGGACACGAGCCGCTCCTCTCAGGACTAAGCTCGTGGTTTAGCACAAGCATGAACTTTCTTAGTCTTCCATTTCCTCGCAGAAACACCTCTTCCCAAGCCAGCTCCCGTCTTGGCAAAACATTCTGGGTCTTAGCCTCATATAAGCTTGCTTTGACTTACTTTTCTCTCCTCACGTCCATGATTTCTACTGCCCCTCAAAGTACTCATGAGAACCTGTCTAGCTACAGTCCTGAGAGAGTACCTTCCCCCACCACAGGTGACAGGATGTTCAGGCACCCCACCTGCAGCCAGTGCTGATGGACTCAGGGCTCCCTTATCCCCATGTCTCCCATAAAACATCAAAGCACTTGATGCTATTTCTAATAGGTGTACAGCCAGATCAAGCCCATCTTCAAATGCACATAACCAGCTCTCCTGGCCATGCGGTTCAATGTGATTGCATCATTCTGCACTGTGACCCTTAAAGGCTTGGAGAAGTCATCTACGAGGCTCTACGGCCGCCCCTTCCTGGACACAGGGGGTATATTCCAACAACACAGCATAAAGAGAAAGGATACTGGGTAGCCACCTCTCCGTCTGTGAGCTTAGGCTTCTCAATACTTCTAGAATCTGTGAACTCCTTTAAAACAGCCCACACACAGTGCGAGGCTCTAGAGGCAGGCACCAAGGCTGTAGCCACCTTCTAGTAAGCAATAGTTTAACTCGGGGGTCATCTGAGCCACCTACAGCAGCCCAAAGTGAGGTTCGTGGACTGGAGCTGACAGCAGTGTGGAAGTCTGCAGTGAGCATGTACAAAAGCTTTTCACAGCAGAGCAATATGAAGTGGCTGTACACCTGGGTGGACTTCTCAGCCACTGTATTCCCAGTCATGATGTCACTCCCATAGTGCACTGCAGTCCTTGTTTTGAAGTTTAGAGAGCTGTCAGAATGGGTTGATGAAAAGTTTATGCATGGACAAGTTCAGCATACTGTGCAGAATCAAAAGGCTGGGACACACGCCTGAGCATCACGGGAAGTTGGTGGGGGATGGCGAGCCATGGTGTAGCCACAGAACCCAAGTCCTGGAGAATACCAGCAAAAGTCTGGGGTCCCTTCTCCCTGATGATCCACATCTCTATCATGCTGCCTTGCTGCTCTAGCTGTCCAGCCCACCCAATACCATGCAAGCACCTCATAAGAGTGAGGACCTTCCAAGGAAGCTCTGATACCATCACACACCACTATAAAGTGAGAAGGGCTTCATAGACATGATGGGGACTCTAAACTTTGTAGAGCAGTTATGGTAGCTTTGATGAGAATGGCCCCATACACTCATTATGTTTGAAAATTTGGTCTCTAGTTAGTAGAAATGTTTAGGAAGAATTGGAGAGTGTGGCTCGGGGGTTGGCTTTGAGGTTTAAAAGTGTCCTGCCATTCCCACTGAACTCTCTGCTTCCTGCTTTGAAGCAGGTTCGAAAGGTAGCTCCCCCTACCATGCCTCTGCACGAGCGCGCGCGCACACACACACACACAAGCACAAATTTCAAATTTGAAATACAAAATACTTGTAAAGGCATTTCAGATTAAAGATTTGATATTTTTAACCCATAGTAAACTCTTCAAAGTCACTGATAGTCTGTGATGGTCAATATTGCCAAGTCAACAGGACCAGGTATCGCTAGAGACAAACCCTGGGCGTGCCTGTCAGGGACCGAGAGAAAGCACACTAAGTGTCAGCACTCACCTCTCTTCTTCCTGCCTGGATGCATGTGCCCACTGCCTCAGGCCCCTGCAGCCATGACTTCCCTGGCAGGAGGGACCATAGCCTCCAACTGTGAGCCAGATAAATCCTTCCTTCTTTAAAGAAGGTGCTTTGTGCCAAAGCAATGAGAAAACAGATGACTTCCTGTCCCGACCCTGCCTCTCACTGTCCCTCCAGCTCATAACCCATGCAACTCACTCAGGCCCATCACTGGGCCAGCAGGGAGGGAAAATTACTTACTTTTCCTCGTTTCTTCATTTCCTTTACATATTGTTTGTTTCAGCTGCTCAATCCTCATCTTGCATGCCATTATTTTCCATCTCTTAAAAAAATGTCACAAATGTTAGTCTCACGGATTATCCACCTGGAATTACTGCTTATTCTCAGGTCTACCGTAGGAGACGGCGAGGAAACAGCTGTCACAACTGCATTTGCCACAACTGTCTGCATCTGAGGTGAATTACAAGGAAAAGCACTTTCCTGGCTCAATACAGTAGCTGCTGGGAAATGAACAAGAAAGAATGCACTCAGTTCCTCCCCATGGGTTAGAGCAGAGAAAAATGCTTCTAAACTTTCCCTACCAAGTACACAGCCTGCCTAAGCTGGCGTGCTGGTTTACAGAGAAAACTAGTGCTTGGGAGGCGATTTCAAGACCAACCACCCTGAGCTACATAAGGCCCAGTTTCAAAGCCATCAAAATACAAATACATGGAATAAAGATTCACTTTCTCTACTATCCACACGTCATGGCTAAAGGCTATCGCACAATCAGCGATTCAGAGAATTTGTGTCATCAGAAACAGACTGAGTTCCACTCTGTGCTGGCTACTGAGGCACAATGCAAATACAGTTTTCTAAGATGACTTGGAAATTACATGAACCGAAGCCGTCTCTTTACATTAGCAGGAACATAGAGTTTCTCCCATAGTCAGGATCCATGACTTCATGAATTAAGGAGTAGAAAAAGGAATGGTTCTACTCTTGCTCCTAGTGACCAAGTTTTGCTTCCTGTTCTTGTTTTGGTTCCAGACAGGGGAGTGCTCCTGCCAGGAGAGGCAACAAACATTCCACTGAACTGGAAGCTCAAACTTGCTCCTGGTCACTTTGGGTTTCTGTGCCCTTGAGCGATCAAAGGAAATCTGTGTTGCTTCTCAGCAGATCCTTTAGGATGGAATGCAGGGGATCCTATCTTTGTACTATTGTATCCTGTGATTAAAGTCAATGGAAAACTACAATTCAATCCAGGTAAAGTAACAGAGGTCACAGGCCCTCAGGAATGAAGATGTGGGTAACTCTTCAAGAACTGCTGAGGGGCTTGCTGAGGGTGGAAGAAACAGAATGGGCAGTACAGGAAGGCAGTCATAAATACCAGCTAAGGCCATGTGACTAGCTGCAATAATATAGGTTATAACAGACATGAGTGTTTCTGTTGTATTTTGTCAAGAATGTGCTTCTATAGGCATTCTTCCTTTCCTTGGTTTCTTTATCATGTAATGTAACATCAATTGAGATATATCAATGCTCATCATATTTACGTTATGAAATACTAAAAAAAAGTCCCAAGTGACACTGCCACCTCTTCTAAATGTTTGTAGTTGTATGTGGGATATTTATATCATGTTAGGTATAAACATGACCTGGTTACTGTTTTCATTTGGAAATTACTATGACATAAGCAAATACAATTGTCCAGATGACAAGATGTGGTGGACTTATGATGGCTATTCTTGATGATCAACTTGACTCCATCTGGAATTAACTAAAACCCCAAGCAGCTGGGATATTTAGTTAATTGGATCAGTTGAGGTTGGAAGACCCATCCTGATATGGGCCACACCTCATGGCAGCTTAGACGAAGTACAGAAAATGCTTTTGCGCTCTTGCCCTCAGTCTTGCAAAAACTTGTGCCCTCCCACTGATGCGGACTCTCTGGAATTCCAACACACACCACAGCCTCGGGCACTGAGTACTGAAGACCCTGACACACCCAGCCTCAGGCACTGAGCTACTAACAGATTCTTGGACCTCCAGTGGGGAGACAGCCACTGTTGGATTAGCTGGACCACAGGCTGTAAACCACTCTAGTAAGTCCCCTTCTACATATAAATTCCTTCTATCATTTCTGCTCCTTTACAGAACCTTAATGCACCTGCCCCTATTTTATAGTCCAGCCTGACCTTGAACTCATGATCCTCCTGCCTTAGCCTCTCTGATGCATATCCCTAAGTCAGGATTCTACAGATAAGTGTGTATGTTAGAAAGAGTTCTAAAGAATTTTACTCAAACATCTTAATTATAATAGTCACAGCATGAGTTGCTTCTATTATAAATATTCTTTAAGTGTCATGAAAAATTATACAAGATGCCTCCTATAAAACCATTAGAGACTGCAGGAAGGAGATATGGCTGTTGTACGGAGTCTGTCCTCTACGGGGGTAAGTTTCTTCTTCATATGGCTGAAGCAGCTTGAGCCTTGTGAGCACTCAGCACCCAGTCCTCTGCTGGGCCACCCCAGTGCACCATGTACCATTTTTAGAGCAGAGTTAACATACACACAGAGGGAATGGCATTCCCTTATTTTTTTTTCATTAAAAATTTTCTCAGACATAGTTTCTTTTGGATATATGTATGCTAACCATGTATGCTAACATCAATACCAAAGCAGCTCCACAGGCCATGGGTCCTTCTAAGCTCCTGAACCTAGAACACACTACAGTTAGCTGGCTATCCATGATCTCTCTATCTGTGTGCAGTTCTTAGGAGGAACCTGCTGTGCACACACGTGCTCTGTAAGCACCCCAGACTACCCAAGTCAAGTGTGTCTCTGGGATGCTGCCTACAGGATTAGGTGTCAGAGTCCTGTCAAAGTCCCTAATTTACACATTTCTACTCCTTTTCTCAGCTTAGCGGTTAGACTTGTTTAATGTACAGACTTATAAATTAGTTTACTGTGCCAAATACTTTCTTCTGAGGCCTCTAAAGGTCCTACCAACACCAAACTAGATAAATCCACTACTATATTTTTTTGTTCTACTCTGGCATCTCACGTAGCCCAGCTGGCTTCACATCCCAAGCCTCCTTCAGCTCCAAGGGCACATCAGTAACCTCCCTGCACATGTGTTTGTTGTAGTTTCTGTCTGGTTCTGTATTACTATGCAAAGAGCGGTCCTGTCTAATTATCCTTACATAACAAGCCTATCTATCCCATTTGGTTCATCTCCATGTAACAGTTTAGAAGGCCACACACAAACACCAAATGTGGTGAAAAACTAAGTTAAAGAATTATTCCTTTAAGCTCTATCAACTTAAAAACATATAGCCTCATGTATGAAGAATATTAGCTTAAATACTTCTTGGAACTTACCAACTGATCTGTTAGCTGTTTTCCTTCCATAGCTTTTAGTACTCTGTATGGGAAAAAGATTGAAGTTCTTAATAAAAATCTTATAAGGCTCAAAAGAGATAAATCAATGTTTAAAATATTATTTTGCCTATGGGTGTTTTGCCTACATGTGTATGCCTGGTACCTGAGGAAGCCAGAAGAGGACATCAGCTCAATCCCCTAAAACCGGAGTTACAGACGGTTGTGAGCTGCCATCCAGGTGCTGGGAATGAAATCAGAGGCCTCGGGAAGAACAGCCAGTGCTCCCGAAAGCTGAGCCATCTCTCCAGCCCTTCCTTTCCCTTTCATTTTCAGTACTGCCTGATGCTATGTGCCCAGTGAGTCTTGAACGCAGCCTTCAGATTATAGGTGCATACTGCCTGGTTAATGATCAACTTTTAAGGTAGGTGTTTGGAAAAACTTGGAAATGCCAAAGTGGGTCTAAAAATTATTTTCAAAATTCTTTATTCCTTACAATTTCTCATTTCTTCCTTTACTACCTATAATAATAACTTCCAGTCCTCAGACATAATCAGTAATTTCTATGAGTCATAATCAATAATAATAGCCACAAAATAATTCATAATCTTAAAACACAAAAGATTTGTTCTCAGAGAAAGGGCAAAGACAGTGCCTCTCCATATTCATCCTAGGAATGAACTACTCTGGGGAAAAAGATTCCGGGATGGATACACTGCTGGGTCCAATACACCAGGCAGGTTTTTATGAAGCATGTTTTTTAAGAGGATTTTCTTCTGCACACGAATGTGTTTAAGGAGTCCATTGTGAAAATCGCTGTACACAGATGCCAGCTGTCTTCACCAGTAAAGACATGTCCATATTGGTCTGGTTTGGGAAGTATTGGCAGAGGGCCTCAAGTGATGGGCAGACATGCAGGAGAAGGGAAGCCCTTTAAGGGTGAGCATCTCTCCAGCCCTTTATCTTTTTTTTTTTTGTTTTGTTTATTGGTTTGTTTTCAATATTGGCTCTTGCTGTGTGCCCAGGCTCGTCTGAACTCAGCCTTTTGGTTGTAGGTGCATACTGCCAACCCTGGCTAAGATCAGTTTTTAGTAAGAGTTCAATGCCAGCAGGCACCACAGGATAGCTACCAGGTCAGTTTAGGCAGAGGTTCTACAGAAAAATCTACACGGTAAGGGAGTCACAGGGTGCTGGTTAACAACTCAGAGTCGTGGGCCTCACTTGGACTTACTTCATCAGAATGTCTGAGGTTCAAGGATCTGCATCCGAAAACCTCTCAGCACAGACACCTGGGACTCTACTGCCCTACACTGATGACCACCATCCTATGGGACCCACTTCTGTGAACACTAACTTGGCTCTCATAAAACCTGCTGCTGTAGGCCCATCTGCCACCATCAGTGAGCGGGGCCAAGGGTGACTTCTCTGTCCAAACACAGATCACTTCTGTGAGAAAGACTTCAGGTCTTGGGCCAGGGTTTTCTATTCTGGGCTTCACTTCTCCCAGACAACTCTCCCTCCTTCCCCCATACTTTAAAGGTCTGGTGCTCTGCCCACTGAGTTGTTAGGGTGTGCTCCAACATTTAAAAAGATAGTCTGCTAAATGAGCTGGCAATTCCCATATCTGCACAGCACAGCAAGACTAAACTAAGTAGTTGGCTAGAGACCTCTACAGATTAAAAATAAAAACTTACTCCTTCTGAAACTCCTCTTGCTTGCTCTTAAGCTGGTTCAGCCTTTCCTTCTTGTCAATAAACCTGTAAGAAAGGACCTTGGTTTATTTACACATCCTCCCGGACCCCACCAAGTTTAAAGAGACTCTTACCAATCATGAGCTAATAATCACTCTGCAAACGCCTGCTAAACACCCATATCCTGAAAGCAAAAACTTTCTCAATAGGGTACAATAGCTGGGTTTGTTTGTTTGTGACATGGTGTCTCTGTGTAGCAACCCTGGCTGTCCTCAAACTCAGAGATCCACCTGCCTCTGCCTCCTGAGTGCTGGGATTAAAGGTGTGCGGCACCACCACCACAGTTACTGTTTTTTAAAATCAAGTTAGAATTATCAACTTTAAAGCTCATTCCTGGCTTTATAATAATATATGTTTGTAGACTCTATTTTGTACCTTAACACTGTTTTCCAAAGCAAACATCAGAATACTAACATGAACTTTTGTTTTTGAAACAGGGTCTCACTGTATACCCCTGGCTGATCTGGAACTCCCTATGATACCAGGCTAGTCTTGAACCCTCAGCAATCTGCCTGCCTCCGCCTCCCAAATGAGATTAAAGAAACGCATGGCTATGTACAGCACCACTAATATGGATCTGAATGCAAGGAAATTCAGAGTTTCATTACAAAAGGAATAAAGTTGCCAAACTTCATTTAACCCTGCTTTCCTCTACAAATTGAGTCCTTATAGCTTCTAAATAGAATTGATTTCATTAATTTGTGAGTCACTGGATGCTTACAAGCTAGTGAAGGAAGGCGTGCACACTACTCAGTTCCTAGGCTTCTTTGTCGCCTACTGCTATCATTTTTATTTCCTTCTAGCGACTTCACTTTGTTTTGTTTCTATTTTTTAGTTTAAAGAGGTAACTTAGAATAATTTACCCCCTCAATTTAAAATCTGACACATTAAATATTAAAAATCAAGCCAGGCAGTGGTGGTGCACACTTTTAATCCCAGTACTATGGAGGCTGAGGCAGGTGGATCTCTGTAAGTTCGAGGCCAGCCTGGTCTTCAATGCTACAGAGTAACCCTGTCTCAAAAAAACCAAATAAAATAAAATTACAAATCAAGGCTGGCTCAGTGGTTAAGAGCACTTGTTCTTGAAGTGCCCAGGTTTGATTCCCAGCACCCACATGGCAACTCACAACCATGTGTTACTCCAGTTCTAGGTGACCCAATGTCCTCTTCTAACCTACATACACTCACCAGGCACAAACATAAATACATGCGGGCAAAACATTCATATACATAAAACAATAATCTAAAAACATTTTATTTTAAAACTTACCAGTTGATGTGTTTATACATAAGTGGATTGTGTAATGTTTGCACCTGATTAAGCATTATCAATCTCCTCAGATATTTGTCGTGTCTTTATGGTACAGATAAATTCTTTCAAGATTTTTTAAATCTCACACAATTATCTACAGTCAATTCTACTGCATACCAGGAGGCCCAGCTCTTTCCTAACCATAACTGCTCTAGCTTTTGGCTCACTCCCTCCTTCCCAGCCTCTGTAAGTGTCAGACTCTCAACCAAGACCAACTCTCTTAGATCATACATGCAAGTAAGAGTGTAAGGTACTTATCACCTCTAATTCTAACCATCTTGTTGAGAATACTCCCCTCTTTTTTTTTTTTCTTTGGTTTTTCGAGACAGGGTTTCTCTGTGGTTTTGGAGCCTGTCCTGGAACTAGCTCTGTAGACCAGGCTGGCCTCGACTCACAGAGATCCACCTGCCTCTGCCTCCAAGTGCTGAAATTAAAGGCGTGCGTCACCACCGGCCAGCCTGCCCTGCATTCTTGCAGGACAATTTTTCTCTCATTCTTTCTTAGTAATACCTGCTTGCCCAGCACCTTTACTGGGTTGAGATATCCTTAGCTAGCTCCTAGGTCTCTTGAACTTCAATGGACAGGACCTCATAGGACACCTGCCTTCCCCAAGGAAGAGATGCCTGGCATCTCCAGAATGACAGTACACAGGATGCCTTTCCAGCTACACCTCTCGCTGAGCATGGACCCTCCTACACCCAGCTCTCCCCTTCCCCACATCACCACATGCCCGGAGGAAGTAGCCAGATCTCTGAGTCAACGCCCCTTTTTCCTAAGAGAGCCTAAATGATAATCAAAATATCACCTCAGCTTCCTATCACCCTTTATACAGTCTGTAATGTAAGTCCCCATCTCTGGCCTCCCATCTTTGCAGGCCCCATCCCTGTGCCAGCCAAACCTTGACCCCTCCCTGGAGCAGGGATGAGGCAGCCTGCCAAAATTTTGATCACTCCCCCAGTCTATTTAAACTGCTCCCCGGAAAGCCCCTTCGTGGTCTCTTCTCCCCCTTCCCCCCAGGGTTCACGTTTGTAGCTTCCTGGTTTCCTTGGGGGGAGGGGGTGTTACCCGAGAGTGCAGGAATCCCATTAAACCTGAATGAAACTCCTTTAATTAGGCTTACTGTGACTTGGCTTCATTGGGATTTTTGCATCGGCAGAGAGCTCATGTTAGGAATATTTCTAACAACTACCATAACAGGACAGATGCACACCACAGTGCACTCTTTACACACTTTTTATTTTCTGAGAAATTCTTTTCTTTTTTTGTCTTTTATTTTATTGATATTTATCGAGCTCTACATTTTTCTCTCTGAGAAATTCTTACAAATGGGACAAGCCGCTGGTCAAAGACTACTCATATTCAAAACTTCCTCTAGAACATTCACACATGTCACCTCCTCAAGAGTGGGTAACAGGACCATTCTGACTCCCCAGTCCTGAACAAGTGTCTCTGCAATCCTCTTGGCTTATTTACCTGCCTGTACTTCACTGTCAAGCCAGCCGGCGCCGTGTTCTGCCATTCGCTCAACACCCTTCACCCATTCTCTACATCTTTTTCCTTTAAAGTTTACCACCGAAATTAGCTATTTTACTTTCATTCAGTGAAATCCTGATTTTCTTGCTGCTTGTGAAAATTCTGCCTCCCTCTATTGCTGTTGTTTAAAGACTCTAGCTGTGCTGTTTCCGAAAATCCATCTGCCAGAAAACTTTGTTTTCCCTCCCAAGTTAAAAATGACTATTTTTCCAGAACAGCTAGTGTTGTTACAAAGAAAAACCCTGTCTTGAAAAACAAAACAAGCCCCAACAAACAAAAAAGCCTGTTTTTTGAAAGAAGGTCTTACTAAATTAAATAGCCTTGACTTGAACTTACTATGTGTGTGGTCCAACCCTGAACTCAGAGAACTCCATCTGTCTCCTGAGTGCTGGGATTAAAGGTGTGGACTACAGTACTGGAGTTAAATGCCTCTAAAGTCAAGTGTGGTGGCACAGGCCAATATTCTCAGATCGAGATAGTTATTACAGTCCTCATTACTTACACCTTTTTCGAGACAGGGTTTCTCTGTGGCTTTGGAACTTGCCAGCCCGGAACTAGCTCTGGTAGACCAGGCTGGCCTTGAACTCACAGAGATCTGCCTGCATCTGTCTCCTCGGGATTAAAAGCGTGCGCCACCACCGCCCAGCCTGTTGGGATAAACATGTGCCCACCACTCTATGACCTTACTTACATTTTTAGCATATATTCCTTTTTTTAAAAATTATTTCTTAAATTATTCCACAATTTTGTGACTTTTTCCCATTAAAAAGTACTTCTGTGTCCTATTTCTGCAAAGAGACACCATGACCAAGGCAACTCCTAAAAGAAAGCATTTAATTAGGGATGTGCTTACAGTTTCAGAAGCTTTGTCCATGAACAACATGATGGGGACCACGGTGGCACACAAGTAGGTTTGATGCTAGAGAAGTAGCTGAGTTACGCCCTGATTCTCAGGTAGCAGACAGAGAGACACTGGACCTGGCTGGCATGGGCTTCTAACACTTTAAAGCCTAGTTTTAGTGACACCTCCTGATCCCACCCTGACTGCTGGGAACTCAGCGTGCAAATACAAGAGCATATGGGCCAATCTCATTCAGACCACCACAGCAGTCTTTCCAATCAACTGTCAAGTGGGAGAGGGTGTTCACACAGAACTCAGTGTGGCCTGTGGAAACAGCTCAGAACTCCAGGATCTTCCTGAGAATTCAACGCCCGTCTACACTGAAGCGTGAGGATGACAAAATAGCAGGCCTTACAGGCCTTACAGCTAGCTATGACAGGACTATGAATGTCAAAAAGGGCAGTGATGCAGAAAATCTCCTAACTGCACTGATTCCACACACAGTCACAGCCGTGGGCAACTGAGCAGATCTACCCGCATGGCAGACCAGTCACAGAAATCTGCCCAGGTTTCTAAAAAACCACAGGCTCCATGATCTACCTGCTCTGATTTGGTGCGGGGGTAATTAGCAATGAGCAATAGTTAAGAGCAATAGTTAAGAGCACCTACTGAGCACTTCCCGTGTCCTAGGCAAAGAACCCTAGTGAGATGACAATCTGCCTGAGTCCTGGCCCTCATCTCAGAGCTAAGCTTAGACTCTAGGATTGCCACAACAGAAGTCTGAGATACACACTCATGAACTTTAATTTTCTCCCCAGAGGGGCAAAAAACTGTAACCTTCTGAATAAGAAATCGATACTGTGAAAAATATTCAACCCTCTCAACCAGCTAATTTAGTTCAAGAAACCAAGGAACCAAACTAGACATGAGTTCAGATTTACATCTGAAGATTCAACTACAGTCACAGTAGCCAAATGTTAGTGTTTAAAATATTCAATAGGAAAGTTAAATGATACCACTCTGCCATAATATTAAAACAGTTTATAGTCAGAGCTGGGTGGTGGCACATGTCTTTAATCCCAGAACTCAGGAGGCAGAGGCAGGTGGCTTTCTGTGAGTTCGAGACCAGCCTGACCTACAAGAGCTAGTTTCAGGACAGGCTCCAAAGCTAGAGAAACCATGTTTTTAATAACAAAACAAAAAAATTGCTGGGCGGTGGTGGTGTCTGCCTTTAATTCCAGCCTTCAGGAGGCAGAGGCAGTCGGATCTCTGTGAGTTTGAGGCCAGCCTGGTCTACAAGAATTAGAGAAAAGTTGCAGCAAACACAGACTCCTTGCTGGCAGTCAATCATCTGATACCCCAGGAAGTGAGTCCAGAGGACAGCGATGAACAACCAAGAAGACACTGGAAGAAGAGCAGAGGAAGCTAAATGCATTTTGGCCATGCCTTTCCCTTGACATCTATGGTAACAGCTAAACCTTTCCTGACTTTAATCCAGATCAATTTGGGTAGTCCCTGTATTTCTGCCTGGTATATTTCTAAGTCACGGGTGAAGGTAAGACAGCGCCATTCCTAAACGTGTACTTCTAAACATGGCTTCACCATATGGCCTTTCTCTCTACTCTCACTAGAAGACCCCCAATGCCAGATCACGTTCCCACTCCCACCCCATCTTCCACCTACTGAGACCTCATCACCAAGTGCTCCCAGATGAGGAAACGATTACTCAAACTGTCAGTCTTCTATTGCACAACAGTGCTATCTGGGAAGTTTGATAAGCGCAGATTCCAGGAAAATCAGACTCCCGGTAAGAAGCATAAACATCCAGCAGCACAAGATGCAGAGAAGACCTTGCTGGGAGAAGGTAATGCCTCACATCACAGGAGTGGTAGAGGAACACACGTTCCTGTGCGAGTCAAAGGCAGAAGTAGACAAGACAGGCGAGACCAACAGAATCCTGAATAAAAAATGTTTCCATGTCTGTCAAACTCAGGCCATCTCTAATAGACATTAGTTAGGTTGATGGTCAATGCCTATGACCTCAGAATCTCAGCACTTGGCAAACTAAGACAGGGAGATTACATAAAATCAGGAATAGCCTAGGCTACATAATTCCAGGTCCGCTCCCCCAAATCAAAACAATATGACACATATTTCTTTCAAAAGACCTAATTATTGTGAGATTTACAACTTTATTATCTAATTTTCCCTAACTGCCAAACTATTCAACTCCACATATTCAGCTGGTCCAGGTTAAATGAGGGCTTAACTGTACCGAGTTTCATTCCAAGTGGCTCCACAGTCAGAGGTTTTCATGAAGCGAAAAGGAAAAGGACTCTAAAGGCAGGCACAGAATACAAAATTATTCCCAGATAACAAAGACAGTAGCACAAGCAACCTTTGCTCTCTAGGTTTGAGGCCTGCTAGAATCAGTCAAATCCTTGAGAGCAAACCAGCCTTTATCCTCAGCAACTTGTAGCTGATACAGGCCTTACAAGCACCTGGCTATCAGGACAGTGGTTCTGGTCTCCTGAGAGTCTTTCATCCTATAAGACACCAGGGAATGTTCTGGAACAAAGGAAGACTGACAGACTGTACCTGAAGGCACACACAGCTCAAGAAAGGGAAGGATGTGAATGAGGGAGCTGCCCAGAAGATAACTGTGGTGACCTGCGCAGTCTAAAGGAGTGGCACACTTGCTCATTTTCCTGCTTAATTGGGAAAGGAAATCCACTATAGACCCGTCCCTCTTCAGAAAGGCTGGCCTTGAACTCCCAGGGATTGCCTGTTCCTCCTTAGCGCTGGGATTAAAGGCACTGGGATTAAAGGCGTGCACCAACAACAACAGGCTCCAGAAAACTAATCTTAATGCTCAGAGTTGGAAAACAAAACAAAACGAAGTCTAAGTAGTTGGGTGGTGGTGGAGCACGCCTTTAGCGCACTTGGGAGGCAGAGGCAGGTGGATCTCTGAGTTCAAGGCCAGGCTGGTCAATGAAACAAGTTCCAGAACAGCCAGAGCTGTTACACTGAGAAATCCTGTCTCAAAAAACAACCAACCCCTCCCCTCCAAAAAGGAAGCTATGCCCTCATGGAAAGTTATTTTCAGTTGCTGGCATTATACTCAAATAATATTGCATATAAAAGGGGCATCACTCACCACAAAATACACAAGTGATGTGATGGCAAATGAGATGATGGAAGTGAGAGCCTTGCAGGAGGAGCAGGATGTGACGCTGAACTTCAGGTGTCCACCAAGAGATAATGAAAACACAGTACACATACACAGTGAGATTTTATCTGGTCATATATAAAAATTATCAGGAAAATGGATGGAATACAGTAGTGAACAAGGTAACACTGTCACAGAAAGACAAACAGTGCACGAGCTCACTCATATGCAGATCCTAGCTGCTGGGGTGTGTGTGCGCACCCAACTGTGGGCTCAGGCCAGAAAACTAGAAAGGAGCTCATGGAGGGGAGAGGGGAAAAGAGGCTTTAGGAAATGTAGTGGAGGGTGATTGTAGGAGACAAAGAACAGCAGAAGGTCAAGTGGGAGGGAGCAGGAATACGGGACGGGAGGAGAAACAGATGTTACCTGTGAAAATGCTGTGAGAGGGATGGGCATGATGGTGCACACCTTTAGTACGGAGCCTGGGAGACAGAAGCAGGCAGATCTCTGAGTTCACCATCAGCCTGGTCTACATGGTGAATTCCAGACCAGCTAAGGGCTATGTAGTGAGACCCTGTCTAAAATAAAGAAAATTCAGAAGGAAACTGATTGCTTTGTATGCTAATTCTAAAAATTCAGAGGCAAAAGATAAAGTGCCTATTAACAGGAAAAAATGTTCAAAATGGGGAAGAAAGGGCTATGCTCAGTTGTGGAATTGAGGACTGAGGATGGGCTCATAACTATGGAGCAATCATGGCCTGAGTCTGTTTTTAGTACCTATTTATTACATGCTAGACGTTACACTAGATTCTTTAAAAGCATGCTCTAAAAATCACTCCCAGAAACCTATGAAGTATGTGATACAACTATTTTCAAAATGAAATAAGTTTCAAAGAAATGTGCTCAAAATCAGAAAGCAAGTTGTGGAATTTGGATTCCATTCAAGGCAGCATGCATCCTCAGCACATCTTTTTTAACTCAACCTTACAAAGTTAGAGAAATGCACAGTATCCAGATCACAAGGGGATTCACATGCCAAAGCAACAGATTAATTTTAAATGCAGTGGAAAGCAAGAGAAGGGTTTAAGCAACAGACTGACATGGATCTTGCTTCCTTTTTAGGTGAAAAGCAGGGGTGGTCATGACGGCATAAGGAAAGGACTACATGACTACACAGACCTGGTGATGACCTGGATTGTAGGCAGACAGATTCAAGGTATACTTTGGTGTTGGGGAGAATTAGACTGGCTGCTGGTTAGTGACTTAAGATGCTAGGAATAAGAGAAAAAAAGCAAAGTCCAGGAAAAAATGATTTGCCTTTAGTAACCAGTGATCATGAGACATTGATACAGAAGTGGTCAGTAGGAATAGGAAACAGACGGAAATAGGGCTAGAGTCCCTGAATTCTTAAATCTGCTATGTGAGGATACAATCGTGTACAAAAAAATACTGTCACCCTCAGAGTCTACACCCTAAGGGGATCAGACTATCAGTAAGTAATCAAATGGTGATGACAATGAAGCACATGAAGTAGGATTGAGGTCATTAGTTGAAGGGTCCAAAAGAGTCTTAAATGTATTAGCAGAGGTCTGAAGGGAACAGGGGGCAGCCATGAAGATTACTGCAAAAGCTCTTGGCAGTCTGTGTGTAACTGCAAAGGCTTTGAGGGAGGAGTGTGCTTCGACCATCACGGAAGCCAAAAGGTATAACTTAATAGGTAAGGGAGAAGATAACAAGGATTATGTCAGAGGAATTATATGCAGGACTTTGGTTCAAGATTTCAGCTTTCACTTTGAATAAAAAAAAAGATTTGAACAGAAGAATGGAGCGGCATTATTTCTGCTTATAAAAAGCACAGCAACAAGAAGGGTACAGGAAAGCAACAATCCTCCAGCGGGTTAGACTATGTAATGATCAAAGCTGCAGGTTGAGAATGGGCTTTGCAGAGACAGAATTTGTTGATGGATTAGACATGGTACCTTTCTGAAGACCGGAGGGGTTTTGGAGAACTGAATACAGGAAGGGTGGTATTACAATTCACTGTATTAAGATGTGAAAAACCTCAGAGAAACCCTGTCTCAAAAAACCTAAATAAATAAATAAATATTTAGAGCTATCACTTAGGACAGCAGTCCATGGTCTAAAACCATCAAGCTCATCCATAAAACACAGCAGTAAACTAAAAGGATTTTGTTAGACCAATACCTTCAGACGAAAAAGAAATGAGCCCCACCTATGATCACAGGAATACTGGGAACTGAAAACATCCCCAAATCTACATATTGTATAGTTAAGCAGTTAAATGCACAGGTATACAGATACAGACAAGATGCTTGGATTTTAATTCTGTGTGACCTCAGGACAAGAAAATTACAAGTCTCCTCAGTAGCCAGTTAAGGATAACTTGTGTGGTTGCTGTAAAGGAATAAATTCAACCTTAATTCTTAAAAAAAAAATATCTTTTTCAGGCATAGTGGCACATGACTTTTTTTGTTTGGTTGGTTGGTTAGTTTTGGTTTTTCGAGACCAGGTTTCTGTGTCACTTTGGAGCCTATCCTGGCACTAGCTCTGTAGACCAGGCTGGCCTTGAACTCACAGCGCCCAGCCTGCCTTTTGGCACTTGGGAGGCGAAGGCAGGTGGATAGCTGTGAGCTAGGCCAACCTGGTCTACATAGAAGTTCCAGAAGAGCCAAAGCTACTTCGTGAGACATTCTTGAAAAAAAAACAAACAACAAACTAGCCAAACAAAAATTACATGCTTTACTATCACTGAAGCTCATTGTTGAAACAAAAGTTAGGAGACAAAGACTTCGGCTAAGCATTTATTTTTTAATTATTTTTTTGTTTGGTTGGTTTGGGTTTTTGGTTTTTCAAGATAGGGTTTCTCTCTTGCTTTGAAGCCCATCCTGGAACTCACTTTGCAGACCAGAACTAACCAGTCTCTGCCTCCTGAGTGCTGGGATTAAAGACATGCACCACCGCCGCCGCCAAGGCGTTATTTTTCAATTATCTTAATTCAAACGATAAGACAAAATGTTGTACTAAACTCAAGGCTTGCAACTCAAAACATATTCCCAATTCCCCAGTGACAAAAAATCACCTTTGGGGTTACAGTAGATGAGGCAACCTCCGAGTCCTTGTTCACACAATAGAGCTAGCTGACAAGGTCCACCTGTGACACAGGCGCCCAGGACTCAATCCCTCCTAATCTATTAAATTTTCGACTCGTGCCTTTGTAGTATAGACGTCTGAAGACGGGAAAAGGTTAAGCCAAGTTTCTGAGTGGGAGCAGAGCAAAGAACTAGTACTCCTCTACACACGGCTGCACAGACTTCTCCAGCAGGACACTATTTCCTGTTCCTTATTACCCAAGTGGGCCGTGGAGAAACTCTCTGGTGGGTGGTGGAAGACAGCGACCTTCGCTCACCTGGTTCCCACCCCCACCCTACTCGGCGGCAACAAAGCGCCGGCGCAGAACAGCCACTTTCTCTGTCCACAGTCGCCGGGCTCCAGGGCCAGGACTGGGGTGTCCAGGCTCCAGACTCTGGTCGCTAGAGCAAAGAAAACAGACAGGCAGAAACAATAGGGCCGTGGCGGCCGCCGTACCTCTCCTTGTCGCGGCCGTCGAAATAGACGAAATCACCGCTCTGGATGCACTTGGCACAAGTCAGCCGCCGGCGAGTGGTGTTGCACAGCGGACACCGCTCGACCGCCACGTACAGCCCCTCGGCGTCGTCCACCGAGTCCACCAGGTCTCGAGCTAGCGCGCGCGGCCCGAAGCCAGGAGCCTCGGGCGTCCAGGATCCCTTCCCACTGGGAGACGCCATGATGGTCTGAGCGCAGGGCCAGTCACGTGGGATTTTGTTTTCGTCCAGGTGCATCCTGGGCCCGGAGGCGGGGCTTGGAGGCCGGGGCGGAGGGTGGGGGCGTGGCTCAGAGATCCGGGGCGGGACCCGGAGGCCGACGGTCGTGGGGTGCGGGCTCCCAGGGTCTTCTTCCCCGGCGTCCCCCCCACACCCCGAGGCGGCTGCGCAGTTCGGCACACCGACTGGAGCTGTGCAATTCCAGAACGTCAGGCAAAGTACTGCAATGGATGCCCCAAGCCTTCTCTGTGAAAGGCGCGGGAACACAACAAGGGAATTCATTTCATGAAAGTGGTTACTTTTAGTTGTTTTTTTTTGTTGTTGTTGTTTTTTTTTTTTATTTGGTTTTTCGAGACAGGGTTTCTCTGTGGCTTTGGAGCCTGTCCTGGCACTAGCTCTGTAGACCAGGCTGGTCTCGAACTCACAGAGATCCGCCTGCCTCTGCCTCCCGAGTGCTGGGATTAAAGGCTTGCGCCACCATCGCCCGGCTTACTTTTAGGTTTTTGACTAAAACTGCAACAAGCAAATTTGGGAGAGCGTTGGATCTGGGAACAAGATGAAGTTTGACTCACCTTCCTCCTTAATAGCTGTGGCATTTGAAGAAAATCCTTTAACACCTCTGCCTGACTTGGTCGGGGTTCGTGGATATAATTGCTATACATCCATAACCCCGGAGGGTTAATCAAAAACCTCCATAGCAGCCTAACACTTTACATGTCAATTAAAACCAAACGGAAGGTGCAAATCAAAGTTGTATATTTTTGAAAACTGCCTTCTTTAGCCTCCACTTGCCTGGAGTCCCCATCCTCCCGTGGAAGGGCCCTGAGTGAGGGAATTACAGGCATGTACCAGCAGCACAAACAGAAAAACTGAATTCTAATGGCTCTTGTCCTTCCCTGCCCCCTGGGTCATGGCCTCAGAGAATCAAAGCTCATTTGTTAGGATGTCCTCCAAGTTTCTTCAGAGGGCAGAGGTTTTTATCAGAGTGTTGGATGTGCCTCTAAACCGGAGGGGAACAGAGAAGCGAGGCTGTAGGTCCAGCTGGACCAGGCATTCTCAAAGATGCTTCAGTAGCTCTGACTGCTCTCCAGCTGGGCTTTCTCCCCCACATCACACATCCCAGCACTCAGAGCTACCTCCTGGGTACCAGGTTATGTTTTCCACATACTCCAGTTTGGGGCTGAAGTCTGCCTGGAGCCTGAATCACACAAGTCCCTTACCTGCAAGCTTCCCATGCTGGCCGTCAAATGTCAGCGAGATCTCTCGTCTGAACTCTTTGCCCCTTCTCCAGGGTCTGTTTAAATGCATTCAGGTAGGTTTGGAAGTAATTTTTGAAAACCAAATTCCCTGTATCGTTTTCTAAATAGCCTTCCCTACGCTTGAGTGGTTCCTGAAAGTTTAAGAATTTAAAATAAACAATTTTATGTCATTTCAAACCACAATTTTTTTTTTTTTTTGGTTTGTCGTGACAGGGTTTCTCTGTGGCTTTGGAGCCTGTCCTGGCACTAGCTCTGTAGACCAGGCTGGTCTCAAACTCACAGAGATCCGCCTGCCTCTGCCTCCCGAGTGCTGGGATTAAAGGCATACGCCACCATCGCCTGGCTCAAACCACAATATTAAGGGTTGGGATGTTTCTGTTGGCTCTCCCAAGAGGACTTTACAATATGTGTTACTAAAGGGTCGGCATACTGTCTCTTCTGTACTTTAGAAGGCAAAATATTATACATGATTTCTACTGATAGCTGTGATATTACAGACAGTTCCCAAATATGCAGTTTTCTGTATTGCTGTCTTCAGAGAACACTTTTTAATGCATTACATGTTTAAAAGTAAAGTGTTGATTTAACTCCTCAGTCTTGAAAGGCCTGGAATAGTTCAAATTCTAAAATAAGTTTATTCTTTTTTAATTAAATAACTCATGAGTCATTTTGAGCAAGAAATTGCCATTTCTTCTGTATGGTCACACAGAACTAGATAAGTGCGCTTTGAGCTACACAGCAGACCTTGTTTCTAAAACAAGGCACACACAAAACAAACAAACAAAAACCACAATCCTCTTAGCATACTAATAGAAAATAACAATCTCTGGTGACCAAGAGAAAACATGGGAGACGACTACAAAAATGTGTGGAGAAAGCCCACACTGTCTGCTGTGCGCCTGTTCAAACCACCACGAGTCGAGCAGCCCGAGGATTTGCTCAAGTTTGCCTAAACCTTTTTAGAATAAGCACAGGTTTCAAATGCTTGTAGATTTCAGAACCATCTTTGGCACCTATAAAGAAATTCAAGAAATCTTTAACATAAGAACAGTGCCAACATTTTCTTAATGCCAAAATAGAGTGTAATGTTTAACTATCAGGGCCGTTTGTTTTGGAAATGGTCAAGCTAAGGAGCCCGGGGCAGACACAGTCCAGATGCATCTGTGTCAGCCTCCCCAATGCTGGGATTCCAAGCATGTGACACTGTTCCCAGTTTTCTTTTGTTGTTTTGGGTTTTGTTTGTTTGTTTGTTTCTAGACAGGACTGGGTAGCTTTGGAGCAGCTCTTGTGTAGGCAGGCTGGCCTTGAACTCAGAGTTCCACCTGCTTCTGTCCCCCGCCCCCCCCCACCCCGCTGGGGTTAAAGGCGTGTGCCACCACCACCCAGCTCCACGCCCAGTTTTCTGATAGTTTCCATATGACATCTCTTTAGCTGTCCCTGATAACTGGCCTTTCTTTCCAGTGAAGAAAATAATTGAGGGGGACACTATAGTCACAGTCTCCACAGTCTCCCCAAACCTGTGCCTGAGAGCAGACATTCCTTTGGTAGTCCCACCCTGTGGGTTGCATCTTCAGTCACACAGGGCTCAGTAGAAATATGAGTGGAATGTTAGTCAAGTGTGTTGCCACAAGCCTGAGGGAGCTGTTGTCAACACTGGTAAGCACAGCTATCAGCAAAAACAACTTCTTTGGATCCACCCATTGCTGGTTAATGTCTTCTTTCCCTAGGTTTAAACAAGGTACGGCTGTTTTAAGAGTTTCTAATATTTTTCTCTTTTTTTTAAATTTATTTATTTATTATGTATACAGTGTTCTGTCTGCATGTATGCCTTCAGGCCAGAGGAGGGCACCGGATTTCATTAAGATGATAGTGAACCACCACGTGGATGCTGGGAATTGAACTCAGGACTTCTGGAAGAGCAGTCCGTGCTCTTAACCTCTGAGCCATCTGAGCCCTGAGTTTTTCTTTTTGTGTGTGTGTTTTGTTGTTCTTTTTTGATTTTCGAGACAGTGCAGTGCTACAGGATTTATGTAGAGCAGTGGAAAAGTTTCAGAACTGGAGTAGGGTCACAGTCACACTTCAGAGCACTGAAAGTACTAATGCCCAAACACTGTGTAGCTGTCCTGGAACTCTCTCTGTAACCGGGCTGGCCTTGAACTCACAGAGATCCACCCGCCTCTGCCTCTTGAGTGCTGGGATTAAAGGCACGCACCACTGCCCAGCAGCTCAGTTCCCTCTTAAGTGATTAAGTTTGTTATTTGAACCCTATTTTAAAAATTCTTGAATAATGAGGGAGTCCTTGTAAGTCTAATGTATTTACTTTTTTTTTTTTTTTTTTTTTTTTTTTTTGCCTGCTAAAAGAAAGATAGTATTTATTCCTGGCTAGGGAGTTTTGTTTGTAGATCTCCATCCTGAAAGATGGCAGTGGCAAGGAAGATAAATTACTAAGAGATAAGAGAAACTCTGTGCCTTTGAGCAGACCCTCCCTCCCCCCCCCAGTCTCTGAGTTTAGAGTATTAAAGTTTTCCTCTCCAAAGAGAGCAGTTTTATTTCAACCAAAGAGTGAGAGAGGGGTACTGTAAGTACAAGGCTACAACAAGGAATTTGCCTCTAGCTTTGTGTGTGTTTATCTGGAGCAGGCTTCTCCCTATTAGAGAACTTGTGACCAGCTTGCACACCAAAGCTAACCCCAGGGCAAGACACTCCTTTACAGTTCCCGGAGGAACAGGGCATCCAGGAGGAACACAGAAACTTCTTACAACGGAGGGATAAGTTGTCTTCAGTCGCCTGTGTGAATGGGAGTCCCAGCAGTGGCTGCTCTTCCAGAGGACCTGAGTTTAATTCCTAGAAAGCACATGGTGGCTCACAACCATCTGTAATGAGATCTGGTGCCCTCTACTGGCCTGCGCACACACACATGCAGGCAGAACACAGTATACATAATGACTAAATCTTTAAAAAAGAAAGAAAATAATCCTTAAAAACCTGAAAAAGGATGAGAAAAAAACAAAATGCATCTGGATCTATTCTCCCTACGTTAGCAAAGATTATAATTCTAAAATGTGTTTTACAGCTATTTTTAAAGGAACAGTTAAAATTAGAGTGCCCTTTGTTCCAGGTCCAAAGCTAAGAACGTTCCAGGTTTTCTCTCATTTATACTCATCACAAGACTAACAGGTTCACTGTGGTCATTAAGAAATTAAGAATTTAACCTCTAACATTATCAGAACCTAGTAAAGACAGACTATAAACCACTGCAAGTTAGCTTTACATCGGTATGCTTCCTTTCTCTCTCACAAAATCCTTTAAAAATAGGAGTGACCAGAGTTGAAGAGACAAGGATGTAACTTTGTTAGTAACGTGTTTGCCTAGCACACATGAAGTCCTGGGTTCAATTCCTAGAACAGAATAAATCAGACTTGGTGGTGCACACCTGTAATCCCAGAACTCTGGAGGTAGAGACAGGAAAATGAAACTTCAAGGTCATCCTTGGCTGCACATAAAGTTGGAAGCCAGTTTGGAATACATGAGAGCCCATCTCAAAACAAAAATATGAGTCTGACGTCATGCATGCATATATATACTCCCAGCACTTGGAAGACTGAGGCAGTAGGATTCCAAGTTTAAGAACAGTCTAAGATATGTATATATATATGTATATATATACATATATATGTACATATATATACTATTTTAATACAAAATCATAAACCCATCATAGAGAAGAACAGTATGTTATTATGTAGGCTATTGCCAAGGTTCTAGCATGTATCAAGCCACCTAAAATATAAAAAACAGTATATGTAATAGCAGAGATGCTGAAGATGAAGGAAAAAACTGTTTCATCAAGTCCCTGCCTTCACAGTCCTTCTCAATGTGTGGTCCCAGGCCAGCTCATTGGTCAGAGATGCTAAGCCACTTGAGATCAGCCAGCCCATCACATTGATATGACATTAAATGGCTTATTCCTCCCATTGGATGTACTCTCTTCCCCTCATTAAGCTGGTAATGAAGTTGGAGAGGGTCCCATGCAAGACAACCTCTTGTGGGAGAGGGCTACTCCAAAAGGTCATGGATCAATCCAAGCTCAGACAAGCAATTGCAATTTAAAATGTTAACACTGAAGAACCCTGAGTCACCACCACCGAGTCGATAAATCCTCATTAATGCTTTTCATATGCACACTAAAATGTATCACCTTCACCTGGTATTCATTAAAGTGCACGTGTGTGTGTGTGTGTGTGTGTGTGTGTGTGTGAACTATATTCACTACAAGATCCAGACAGACTCAGAATCCTACCCCTGCCTCTTGAGTGCTGGGATTAGAGGTGAATACACCACCAAATTTGTTTTCTTTGTTTTTTTTTTTTCATTTTGTTTTGAGACATTCTATTGCTTTTTAATTTGTTTTATTTTAAAACCCACTCTATCACCCTGGCTGGCTTACAGTTCTCACCCTGGTTGGCCTTGGCCTTGAACTCACAGAGATCCACCTGCCTCTGCTTCCCAAGCCTTAGGATTAAAGGC